AAGACCCAAAGATGCAATTAGAGATGAATTTAGGACTGAGTTAGACAAAGAATAGTAAGTTATGAAAACAAAAAGGCAAGGGACTTGGGCTAATTGGGTAGGTAAGTGTCCGAGGGGAGAAGCATTCATCTAACAAGGTTTGTTTGCTGTGTGCAGCAGCACATACCTGTAATCCCACCCTCGGGAAGCTGAGGCAGGAGGACCACTGTGAGTGTGAGGCCAGCCTAGGTTATACAGTGAGACCATATCTAAAAAAACAAAACAAAACAAAACAAAAACATAGAGCAAAACAAAACAAAAAACCATAGGAGGGAAAAAAACCCAACACAGGTATATACATATTTCCCTGTCTTCAGCTTCCTGTTCTTCATAACTTTCTCTATCTTTAGTTTTCCTCCTGGAATAGGAAGGACATTATTCACATAGGAATTCAATCTACTTTTAAGAAACAAATGGAAGGAAGCACATAGTAATCTTTTTACATCTGCTCTTTCATCTGTCTTTAATTCACATAGTCAGTGTGCCAGAGTAGCATATTTTTTTAACTCCTTCAGTTCATACCAGCAGTATTAAAGTTTCCAATTTTTCTATACCTTCACACTTGGCATTCTAAATTTTAGCCATTTCACTGTTTCATAATACTTCATTGAGTTTTTGAAAATACTTTATTTAAGTATATAACATACAGAAAAGTACAGAAAGCATAATATTATTGCTTAATGAATTTTTGCAAATTTAATATGTCTATATAACTAAAAATCACTTCTCTCCAAGGATAACTTATCCTTGTTTAAATTGAGTGGATTATTTTGATTATTTTGTGATATTATATAAACGAATTAATATATTTAAATACTCTTTCACTTGGCTACTTTTGCTTAATATATGATGTTTGTTAGATTTGACCATGTTGCTTTGTTGCTATATTCATTTATTCTCATTGCTCTCTAGAATATACTTGGGTGAATTTACCCATTGTACTGCTGTTGAGCATTTAAATATTTTCTAGTTGAGGGCTATTACAGATAGTCCCATATGAACAAACATTCTTAGATAAACCTTTCGTTGAAAACATACATGCCAGTCTAATTGTTGCATACCAAAGATTTGTATGCTCATAGGGCATGTGTATGTTAGCCTTAAGTATAATTATTTTCCAGAGTGGGTTACTGACTTACACTGCTACCTGCACAGCCTCACCAATGTTGGATACTGTCTTTACTGTAGCTGCTCTGGTATGTAGTAAGTGATACCACATTGTGATTTTAATTTGCACTGAGAACCAAAAAACTTGAACACATTTTTATATGTTTAGGGAGCATTTGGATATCCACTTGTAAAAAGTCCCTGTTCACTTTTGCCCATTTTGGGGGGGGGTGACTTGTCATTTTCTTTGTGATTTGTGTGTTCTTCATATATTCTAGAAGAAAGTTTTTTATTGAATAAATGTATTACAAGTATCTTCTCAAAGCCACTGGATCATCTTTTTTTCTCCCCCAATGGTATTTTTTTATGAACAGAAGTCTTAAGTTTTAATATAATTTATTAATTTTCTTCCTTGTAGGTAGTACTTTCAGTGCCTTTTAAGAAGTTACTACCATTTAGGAGTTACATGATATATTCTATTATTTTATATTCTGAAATTTTTATCATTTTAACTTACACAGTGAGACCTACAATCCATCATTTACTTTCATGGACAGTCTGGGGTCAGGGCCAAGAATTCATTTTTTCCCATATGTATGTCCAGTTGATACATTACCTCTTTTTGAAAAGCCCTTACTTATACCCCACTATGATATTATTAAGCCTGGTAGTTTATAGATGAATGTTTATCATTATACATTAAAAGTTCTGGAAACTGTAGATGTTTTCATTTTTCTCCAGGGAGGTTTCATCTTATTCTCCCTCATACACAAAGAGTGGTGGGCTAAAGGCTGTATCACAATTATAAGATGCCTCTGACCTCTAGCTGTTTTTACTCTTGAAGTATAGCTTCTCAGGGATCCCAATTGAGACCTTGTTGGGTTATGCAGAGCATTTCCTCTCTGGTGATTCCTGAATACTTGTTTTTGTCCTTTCTATATTTTAAAACTAGTAAAAGTTTTGTCAGCTTTTCAGAGACTTTTTGTGCTTAGCTTCTCCTCTTGTCCTCCATAGATGTCAGACTTAACTCCTTTTTAACGTCGCATCTCATGAGGACTTAGCCCTTGTTTCTTTAGCCTGAGTTTTCCAGATAGTATAGTATACTACAGTTTCTTTCTCATAAAATTTCCTTTTCTCATCCTCTTAAGACTTCACCTCAGAATCTAGCAAAGTTAAATTCTAGATATTTTTAAAATTCAGAATTAAAACATATATTATGTTCATATTTCTCTTGCTGTTTAGGTCTTTCTGTTCTGGCTATCGTGGCTGGCAAAAACTTTAGCTTTCTTCATCCAGTCTTATAAGAGTGTCAGATGCCCTACTGGATTCTCTATCTCTTGGCAGCAGCTGTCTACCCCAATTCTCAGCCTTTTGCCTTGTGCCAACAGTAAGGATAGCAGATGTCCTGTTTGTAGCCTATAAAATTTTGGTCACTTCTCTTTGATTTTTTGCTCTCTAGAATCTTAGGCCCTTCACTTCCTGATTGTCTTGGTACCTTCAAATTTATTTTTAATTTTATCAGATTTTCTGGTTGTTCCTGGAGGGAGTAGTGATATATCCAGGATTTTCTATCATAGACAGAAGATATGGTTGAATTTTAATGTTTTGATTATTTTATTTTTAAAAATTGGTTAGTAAAATGTTAATGGAAAAGAATATGTGTGAACTAGATATGATGGCACATGCCCTGTAATCCCAGTAATTAGGAGGCTGAGGCAGAAGGATTGCTGCAAGTTCAAATCCAGCCTGGACTACATAGTGAGTTCAAGGCCAGGCTGGAATACATAGAAGAGCCCCATCTTTAAAAATTTTTTTTAATTTTAAAAGGAAGAAAAAAACCATGTGTTGTACAGTAACAGTTACAAAAACAATAATTAAAAGTTGCCTTTCTTTCCATGTTCCAGTCTTATGTTCTTTCTGGAGGTAAAGTATTAGCTTACTAGTATCAGATTATATATATATAAAGTCATGTGTACATATTTACATGTATATATACATCTAACTTATTGACACTTTATATTTTAATCATTAAATATTTCAACATTCTGAAAAAATAGGTTATACTGAAAATTCTTGTACTTATAGCCATAGTTCACATTTTACTGTTTTTTTAGATCCTCTGTTCTTTTGAAAGAAATAAAATATGATACAGTTAAATCCTTATTTTTAAAAATCAACTTTTTTTGCAATTCTTTTATTCAGTGAGGCTTTAAAGTTTTATCTGTGTTTGTGCATATGTATCTCTATTTGTTTTAATTATACATGATATTCTTTTGCTTACCTGTCATGCCATTTTGTTTTATTGTTGGTGTTTGTTTTGTTTGCCTTTTTAAACATAAATATGAACATGTTGTACATTCTAATTTGGACTTTACCTTTTTCACAAAATCTCTTTAGGTTTAAATTATGTAATACTAAGAAATTTTATTTTGCATCTCCTCTTAACTTGATGTAAAAATTTGGAAAAAAATAATTTATATTGGGGGACAAATTTATGAGTCCTCAGTGTCATGATACCACAGTGAGATTTGTACAGAACATTTTGATGAGTTCCATATGTATTTGAAGCCTTTACTATGTCTACCTTTGATATCACCCTGGTTTATAAATAATCAAATTAGGATAAATTGTAAACTAACCTGATCTCTGGTTCTTTATCTGACTATTCTAGATATAATATTATGTAATATAACATAAATATTTCTCCTTAAATTTTTTCTTCTGACTTCCTTCTTAATGCTTTACTTGGAAGGCTTATTAAGTTGTCCTAGGTATGTTAGTGTCAGATAAAGCTTTCTTCTCATCCTTTTATTTAATTTAGCAAGTCCTTAAGTAATTTAAGAATGGCAATATATATCATCCTTTCATTTTTTTCCATTTTTAGATCTGCCAGTATTTTGATAGCATTTTAATCAATTAAGATTTGCTGAATTATTTTATAGCCTTAGCACTTTGCTGAGTATTATTGTGTAAATTAATGGAAATATAAGACATTATTTTGATCCACATAGGTATTAAAATTTAACTGAAGGGAAAGAAACAGATCATTAAACCCCACTAAAGTGCTCATGATATAAGGTGAGATTTGGATTGGACCATCCAAAGATTTGATTTTGGAAAGCAGAGAGAGGAAGATTTTATGAGCAGATGTACATATAAGATAAATGAGGAGTAAAGAGTTTAACTCTTTAAGTAGACAGATGCCCATATCAACTGCAAGGAAGTTAGATGATGTAATTACTATTTTAGGAAGTTGAGATTAGAGCAAGGGGATGGAGGTCAATTAGAAGGCTTTTATGGAAATTTGAGGAATTCAACTTAGATATTATCTTCAAAATATGTCTATGCCCTTTGGTTCACTAATTCCATTTCTAAGACTTTCAGGAAAATGTTCCAAATGTTTGGTGTCTGAAAGGACAGAGAACTGAACCAAAGCAACTACCTTTTATTCTTTCTTCTTTCAAAACTGAGAATTGACTTAACACCTTTTGCAGTGAGCTACATCTTTCAGAGGGTTTTAGTGGTAGAACTCCTGTCATACATTTCATTAATTACTTTGATTTAATCAGAGTTTCTTTGTTAAAGTCTTAACATTTCTTCATAATGATAGTTTGTGTGACTTTCTCAAATGTAATTTTACAGTTGAAACCGAAACCCAAATTTTACTAGAAGCTATTTCTTTGAAGAGTTCAGAGAGCCAGCAACAATACAATTTAGCTTAAGGCTCCTTTTGTTTTGTTTTGTCTTATCTCAATTTTCACTTTTTTTTTCAAGTAAGAATAAAACACAAGAAAAAAATAATTGAAATGAAACACTTTAAACCTATTTTTCTGGTTTTTCTTCTTCTTTCATAGGTTGCTTTCTGAGGCTAAACAGACGAACATCTTAAGAAAAGCAAGATCTTACATAGAACAGGGAGAGTTTGATGAAGCAGTAAGTACTGGGGCTTTGTGGGCAGAAGTGGCTGATTAGCATTTCTAGGTATGGTGATGAGGAACATGTTGGGCAGCCCAAGGAGCTTTCCTATGGAGCTGCATTAGCCACAGACCTGTTCCACTTTATTTTAGATAATATTATGGATAAATTCGGGGATAGTTAGCAGTAGAAATAAATATTACTACCATTTTTAAAATGAGAAATACATTTCAATTTACTCTCACTCTCTTTTGTACAATATTTTAGTAAACCATATATTTGTCACTTATACCATCAGAAGCCTTCTGCTGAAGCTTTGACTCTTCCCAGCTCTTACCCTACTGTGTTTTTCTTTCTTTTCTTTGTTAAATGATCATGTAATTTGAAGTCAAGAGCAGTTCTATTTTCATTTTCTAAAACTACCTAAAAAATTGCCAAGGCCGAGTTCTTCATCCACACGTTCCTGCCGCCTGTGTTGACGGTTGGGGAGAGGACACTAAATGGTTGTGGGGTCCCAATGTGCTGGGAGGCTGAAGAGAGCACCCCTCTTTTTTCTTAGACAAGAGGCATTGATAAAGCATACTTTCCTGGATCCCGGTTCAGTAGAGGGACAAATTATTCTTAAAGATAAGTTTATTACTCAGTCAGCCCCAGATAGTAGAAAAAAGCTACAAACAAATGGCTTTTGCCCCAGATAGCTCACTTGAGATGTTAGTAAGAATTACCTCCTCAGTATTTTGTAGCCATGAGGAGGAGGCCAAGGAGAGAAAACAAAGAGATGGAGAAAAAACAGCTGCCTTTATTGCAGCACTAACAGAAACAGACCCTAAGTCTGATTCTTGGGGCCCCAAGAAGACCTCATCAACTACATTCATCTGCTACCACTGTCAAATGCCAGGCCACCTCAAGAGGGACTGCCCTAAGAAGCCCCTTGGGCCATGCCCTGACTGTAAAGGTGATCACTAGAGGTTTGACTGCCCTCTGAAGCAAAGGCCCCAGAGCTCAGACCCCTCCTACCAGCTGGTCCAACAGGAATGAAGTGGCCCAGGGCATACTCTGCCTTCTCTCTCTGGCCAGACCGTTATCTCCAAGAAGGAGCCCCACATAATCATGACTATAGAGGAAAAAGTAAACAGTCTATTGCTGGATACTGGTGCTAGTCTCTTGGTCCTTGTTTTCAATCCTGGCCTTCCTTCCAGCCATCACACCTCAGTGAAAGGAGTCACTGATGAGGAGGTAATCCGCTATTTTTTACAACCCTTAGGCTGTAACTACTTGTTAGATCTTTCTTGCATATCTTTGTTTTCCTGAGAAACTACTTTGAAGATACCAACATGTATTACAGCAGCCATTGATAATTTCCTATCAATCTGTCCATAACTCTGTAATGTTTGTATTGTTCCTATGCTATTTCATAAATGGATGTATGTTTATTACTGTGTGTTTTCAACAACCATTGAGAATAGTCAATGATTATTTAATTGATCACTCATGTATAGTTCTACTTGTTTTCCTTAGAAACCACTTTGAAGAAACCAAAGTATAGTACAACAACCATTGATAATTTCCTGCCATTTTTGTCTGTAACTCAATATTATTTGTCTGTTTTTCCTAAGAAACTATCTTGAAGATACCAGTAGGTAAAATAACAACCATTGATAATGTCCTACCACTTTGTCTGTAATTTGGTAAATCCACCTATTACTATGTTATCCTTCTTTTACTCTTAAAAAAAAAATTGCCAATGTGTGCATTTCTACTAGTTTACTTTTATTATGGTTTTAAAAAGATATGCTATTCCCCTTTAAAATATTAACACACTTTAGTGACGTTTTATAACACATGGGTGATCTGAGAAAGAAATGAAATATATATGGTTAACCATACATATCATATATGGTTAATTGAGACCATATATGGTTATTGAGACCTGCATTGGAGAAACTTCATCTCCTTTATTGTGTCAACTGAAGATAATTTCTAAAAAATGAATTATTTTAAAATACTACATATATCATAGATAGTTTACAATAAAGTGCTCTTTGTTACCACTATTACAAAGTTCACTTTATTCTGGAATATTTTTCATCTTTTGCAAGAGACTCTCAGACAATTAAAATCTGTTTTTAATCCAACATCTACAGTCAGTTACTGTAGTAATTTACTACAGTGGTTTGACTGTTAGGAACTTTACCATTTTTCTTTCTTGGAATTTAGGTTTTCTTCCCCTACAAGGTATGTATGTATGTATATATACATATATATATTATAATTTTTTTTTCTTTTTCCTCCATAGATCTCCCTTTGCAAGGAGCTGATTCATCTTGCGTTGAAAGGATTGTCCTATTATCACACTTATGACAGATTCTTTTTGGCTACTAATGTTGTTATTGGCTTTGTGGGATGGACAGTTTATGCTTCTTTGTTGATCATCAAGTCTCATTCCAACCTAACAAGACGTGTTAGTAAAGAACTTAAGGTAGGCTCAGAAAATATAATGAAGATTCAAATGATGGTATAAAAAAACTCTTAAGATTATGGAAAGAAGTCTATTCAGTCATATATTAAGTTTATAGAATGTGTGAATCATTATACTTAGTTAACTCATCTTTCATTTGCTTTTGTTGTACTTGACCTTTTTCCTGTTATCTCTATTTCTTCAGTTGGTAGGAAGATGTATTTATAATAGTGACCCTATAACTTATCAGGACTACAAAGATATCTATATAAATAATTTAAATTCTCCTATAGTCTTGGTAATGTTGATTTTTCTATTTTTTATAACTACTTAACATGTTATAAATATTCCATATCTTTCTTGTACACATAATTGGAAAACTGCTTCAAAGCAGTATGCTTACATTTATCTAATATTAAGTTTCGGAATTAGAAAACTGATTATGGATTTTGATTACATCATCAGGATACTTTCACAACACCTAGATTAATATTTGAATAATTGGAGATAATAAGTAGTCATGTTGACCTATAAAACTTACCATGACATTTGAGGTTATTTAAAATATTTTGAATCCTTTGGTTCTGTTCACAAATCATTCCAGTTCCTCCAGTGAGAGTTTACAGTCTTGGGAAGTGATATGATCTTAACATTTCTATAGGAAGAATAACATGAAATAGTCTATAGCATTAACTGAAGGGAGGCATGAAGAACAGTTAGAAGGTTAGACATTTGCAGCTGTGCATATATTAGAATGCAGTGGTATACGGACGCTGCACAGAGGAAGTTATTGCCACAGTGGAATCATAAAGGATAGGTAGAACAGCCCCACAGGAAAAAAAAAAAAGGTGGGGCGGAGAAAGGATGTGCAGAGAGAAGAGCATGTGCCCAGAGAGGACACAGGAACATGGTATCTTCTTGGAAGAGCTACATACAAGTGCTACATACAAGCTACATACAAAGCCTGTACGGGAGGGAGAATTGAGCTTTAGAACAATTATCCTCCATTGCCAGATGAGAAAACCGAGCTTCAGAAAAGCTAAATGGTTTACTCAAACTGACAGGCAAATAGAATGGCAGCCTCAAAATTAGATTTGGGTCTGCCTCCAAAACTTATGTCACTTCTACATGACTTTATCCCCCAGATTCTAGGGGTTATTTTTAATGCATTGCTATTACAGGAAAGTACAATGACTAGTCTCTTTCCTTGAAATGTAATTTCCCACCGCTCCCCATAATTGAACCGTATATTTAATTTTGATACACTCTTAACTTCTCCTTGTTTTTGCTAGTGCTGATGTCTTTTACTTTACAGCTGGGTATTTTTTCATATGCTTACTCTATTGCTTTCCCTTGTTCTCATCTTACCTGGAAAAATAAAAAATATTAACCCCTTAAGCTCTTGGGTCTCCACCTGTGTGATTTAAATTCCTTGTGTCTCCACCTTAATGATTTAAATTCCTTGAATGCCAGAACTCAGTACAGATAATAGCACACAATAGTGTGTGACTTAATAAGTATCTTTTGGATAAAGAAATATTCACCAGGCATAGTTCATTAGTTTTTTTGTGGGGAGCAAGGAATCAATTAAATCTATTGGAAGAGAAAGTAGGTAAAAACCTTGAAGACATAGGGGTAGGAAGAGAGTTCATAAACAAAAACCAAACTGCCCATGAAATACTTCAAAGAATCAACAACTGGGATCTCATCCTACTGAAAAGTTTCTGCACATCTAAAGAAATCACCAGCAGAGTAAAAAGAAAACCCACAAATAGGGAAAAAATTTTAGCTGACTGTCCCTCAGACAAAGGGCTTCTATCTAGAACATATGAAGAATTAAAAAACATCAGCCCCACCAAATTCAAAGACCCAATCCAAAAATGGGCAGCTGAGATGAATACACACTTCTCAGATAAAGAAATACAAACGGCAAATAAATACATGAGAAAATGTTCAACCTCATTAGCCATTTGAGAAATGCAAATTAAAACAACATTGAGATTCCATCTTACCCCAGTAAGAATGGCTAGCATTAAGAAATCAACCAATAACAAACGCTGGCGAGGCTGTGGAGAAATAGGAACTCTTCTCCACTGCTGGTGGGAATGCAGACTGGTGAAGCCACTGTGGAAATCAGCTTGGAGATTCCTCAGCAGACTAGGTCTAGGGGTCCCATTCAACCCAGCTATTCCCCTTCTGGGTATTTTCCCAGAAGATCTGAAAACATCATATCACAGCGATATATGTGCACCCATGTTCATAGCAGCATAATTTGTAATTGCTAAATTGTGGAAACAACCCAAATGTCCATCCACTGAGGTTGGATAAAAAAATTATGGTACTTTTATATAATGGAATATTACTCAGCTATAAAGAAAGACAAATTTGAGGCTTTTATAGGTAAATGGTCACAACTAGAGACCATACTCATAAGTGAAATAAATCAGACGTGCATGTGTAAGCATCATATTGTCTCACTAGTATAAGACCTGAAAGAGTGAATAAAAACTAGGAGGTATGATAGACATTGTGAAATGAAAGGAAAATGCTCAAAAGTAAAGAGCAACTGGGGTGTGGGAAACGAGAAGGGAAAGAAGGGGAAATTATGTAAGTATGTATATGCAGGATAGCTAATATAGTTGTACTACTGTCTTCTATTGCTCTACAGAAAGGAACAGTTAATTACTTGTTTGATCAATCTTGTATGTCTGTATTTGTTTTCCTGAGAAACCACTTTGAAGGTATCAATAACCATCATTAACAACCATGGTTAATTTCCTACAACGTTGTCTGTAACTCTGTTTTGTTTGTATTGTTCTTATGCTATTTTGTAAATGGATGTCTGTTAGTGTGTTTTCCTTCTTTTATTTTTTAAAATAAAAAAATAAAGATTAAGTGGAAAATATCCTTATTCTTATTTAAAATCCTTTCAATTTTTCTGCCTTAGTAGGAAGAGCAGAACCTAATTCTTCATGATGTAGTTTCCTATAAGTAGATGTCAATTCTCAACCTTGTGTGTATCAAAAAATTAAATAACTATAGTATATTGTATTGACTCCAAACTTTCAAATTCTTTTTTCATATGCTCAACCATTTTACTTTTTGGGGATGACAGCACTAGGTATCAAACCTGAGAATTACACATGCTAGGCAAGTGCTCTACCACTGAGTTACACCCTGAGCCCCTCAGATAGTCTTATGAACTTCATTTCATAATATTTTACTATTCTCCAAACTAGTCTTCTGCTCTTATAATGAGTAGCTGCCTCAATCATCTTTAGTTTTAGAGACTTCATCTGATAACCTCTTTTAGTTTTGCTAAATAGGTATGGGATTATTATTCCCATTTTATAGATGGAGTAAAACTAAGTCTCAAAAAAGTTTTATATTTGCTCATGATTCACACAGTGAGAAGGTGTTAGATCCAAGAAATGAATTCTGATCTGTCTACCTCTAAACTCTTAGTTTTAATGCAATTTTAACCCTTTTTAATAATCATGCCATAATTTATCCTTATTTCTTACTTTTCTATAACATTTTATGCCAGTAGGGAAGAACAATAAAAAGGAAAGGCTCCTCCTTTTCCTCTCTAAATTTCCCTATTTCCAGAAAGCACTTCTTAATTTTCACTTTATTTAGCGTTAACTAACAAAGCAAGGGGAAAACAGTGAAAAGTTGGAATGGAAGCAAAAGAGCATCACATCCCTTTTTTATTTCTGTTCTTATCCCTTTCTCTTCCCTCTAGGGATGCTTAACCTCTTCTAGAGTCCTCTATGCTATTTACTCCCTTCTAACACCTACTTTATATCATAGCAGTCTTGTTCATAGTTACCAAAACCTTCCCGTAAATGTGTCCTTTTCTCAGTCATTAGCGTGCCTGTCCCTGATCCTTTCACATGACCTACAGCATCCAATTGGCCTACCTCGCCCATGAAGGCTATCACAAGGGCTTCCACTGGCGAATTCCCTGGTTTCACAGGTGGTCAGGAAGAACAGATGCAACTGAATGATCCTACTGTGGTTGGCAATAGAGAGAGAAGCATAGCCAGGCAGCATGTTAGATTGAAGCTTGAATAGATGAAACATTAGACATAGATTAATTCTCAGTTTATTATGAATTAAATAGACATTTGTGAGCTAGCCAGCGAGCTCAGTCAACATTTATAAAATTATTTCTAGGAGAAAATATGTTCACACTTACAAAAGTTCTTTGTACACAAACTTTAGGACCTTAGTCACCTTTAAGTTCAGAATTGCCTAACTGCAACAATTCCAGGATCTCTGTCTTTTTTTTCTATAATATGTCTTCAAATGACAGTTTTTTAAAAAAATGTAGTTCTTAGAACCATTGACATAAAGTATATTATCTTCATCTTGTGAAATTTCTTTTAAAAAACTACCTATTAGCTTGAGTTTGGAAGTGTTTCAGTGTTTTGTTTGATTTTCAGAAACCAAGCCATCTTCTGCCATGTTTTGTAGCTATTGGCATTTTAGTGGCATTTTTCCTGCTGATCCAAGCCTGTCCCTGGACTTACTATGTATATTGTTTGTTGCCAGTGCCAATATGGTATGCGGTTCTAAGAGAGTAAGTAATGCTACCTTATTTTTCACTTCAATGGTAGTTAAGCATGTATTTAAAATGCATTAGATTTCTGTAGCATAAGTCATCAAAGTTATTTCTAATACTCTCTAATCTCCAAACCCTCTCATTTCATTTATAATTGCAAAAGTGTTGAATTAAAACCTTTTTGTTGTACTTTTCCTTTTGACTTTAGTCGTTACCATGAGGTAGCAGTGACCTTGTCCCATTCTTTGAACATCATTTATAAGAAAAACCTGGAATAAAAATAACATATCTAATATTGATTGTACAATTCCTGACATAACTTACATTTTGAACTTGTTTTATCACCTCAGATTTCAGTATGTCTTCATGTTTTATGAAGATTTTTACATGTTTTTTTCATAAATTTTTGCTCCTCCATTGTAGCCTTCATGTAAAGCTACATGAATGAAATTTTATGGTGAGTCATGCCTAGTACAATAGCATATGCTGACAGAGATTAATCCATATTATTCACATGTATTATAGTTCTACTTTTAACTACTTGCTGACAAGTTGAACTTAATTTTTTTTTTTTAACCACTGTGGAAAGATTCAAAAGTAAGGCTTTTGGGTGAATTTCAATTACTTTAAAACCACTCAGATGCAGCACTAGTTCATGTTCAAAGGCAGCCAGAATTATGGTACAAAGCTTGTTGCTTTTTATATTTGCATTTATAAACTAAAATTTAATCTTAGCCTTTTTCATCAAAGTACCCTCTCAGAAAACTATACCCCTAAAATGGACTAGAGAATGAAAACCAAGGATAAGGATATCCTCAGAATTGACTAACATGTATATCATGATGCTGTGCATATTTTTATTCCAATAGTTTATGACTCCAGCTTTGCCACTTTTCCATCCTTTAAAAATAAGAGGTATTAAAAATAATTAAAATGTTAAAAATAATAGCTAAATCTTGGAAAAAACCCAAATGTCCATCAACGAAAGAATGGATATAAAAGATGTGTTTTTTTTATACAATGGAGTATTACTCAGCTCTAAAGAAAGAGAAATTTGAGTCTTTTATAGGAAAATAGATGCAACTAGATACCATACTCCTAAGTGAAATAAGTCAGACTCACATGTGTAAACATTGCATTGTTTCCATAGTGTAAGAAACTGAGAGTAAAAAAGATCCAAAAGGTACAATAGATATTGTGAAAGGGAAAAACGGTTCAAAAGGAAAGAATAGCAGGGATGAGGGAAAGGAAGAAGGAAGGAAAATACACACACACACACACACACACACACACACATACACACGATAGCTAAGATAATTATACTACTACTTTCTGTTAGTTCATTGAAAGGAACAGTTAGTGTTTATACTGTTTGACCCATCTTACATGCTTATGTCTGGTAATCTGAGCAACTACTTTGAAGATAACGAACGATATGCAATATAATAACCATTGTTAATTTCCTATCATCTTGTTTTGAAATTCTGTATCCTTTTTATTGTTTTTTATTATTCTCTTTAAAATAAAAAATAAGCGGTTCCCTGGAAGGATGCTTCCGGCGCACAGGGAGCTGTGGGCGGGGAGCGCCAGCCTTCGGGCTGGTTAGCTTTCTGCCTGCCGGCTCCCGGAGGGTGGGCCCCCAGCGCACGGGGAGCCTGGGGCGGGGAGCGCCGGTTTTTTTGGGTCTTTGGATCGGCGTCTCACTCCCGGCCTTCTGGTTCCCTG